CCCCCCACCCCCTTCCCCGCCCCTCCCCCCGGAGGGCACCGGGCATGAAATAAAGGCCAGAAAGCATAAGAGGTAAGGTGGGGCAGCAGATAAACGTCTCATCCCGGCTCCTCTTTCCTTGGGGTTCCTTTAGCCTCTCCCCGCCCCGCCTGCCACTTTCTGGCCCGCTTTGTCCCCGCAGCGTCCCCTGCGCTCCACAGGAGGGCACACCGCGGCGCCGCCTCAGTGCGCCCGCCCGGATCTGGCGGAGCGCTAGGCCTGGACACACTGTGTGCCACCCTCCCCGACCTGGGGCGCGCGCATCCGGCTCCGGAGCCGCCTGGCCCCAGCCCCCGCGGAGCCCGCGGACGTCCTCACCAGCGGCCTCAGAGCCCGACCCGGCGTCCAGAGCTTCCAGCAGCCTGGCGCCCCTCGGCGTTTCCAAACCGGCCCGCTCTCCCCTTAGCCTATGCCAGCCAAAGCCATGGCCCTCGCCAGCCCCTTGCACGTCTGCTGCTGCTTGATTTTGACTCCCTGTAGCCCCCAGAACAGGGTTTGTACCAAAGCTGCTACACCAAATTTAGATCTCCACACGCCCCGGCGTTTTGTTTTTTTAATTGCATTAACTAAGTATACCCTTCGCAGTCAGCTGGGCGATTTGCAGAGAAACGTTTTCCACCACCCTCTTCTCCCGCGGTTGCCTTCAGGGCTTCTGAGAACCATAAAGTTTGGCCACATGGAAAATATCGTATTAGAGGTCCCCGTCCCCGAAAAGCTGTGGGCGTTTTTATTGGGACTCCAAGGTAAATTTTCTCAGAAGGCACGAAGTTTGTCAAATGGCACCTTGTCCTTGAAGAAACGTCTCCACGAGTCTCCTCAAATAGTTGCACGTAATGTGCCTGCTTCTGAAATACACCATAGCAGCGTGGCTGTAGCTTTGCCAGGAAAGAAATCAGTCCTAGAATCCCTGTGTGGACGATTGGTGTCCCAGATCCACATGGACACTGTATGCATGTTTTTACCCCCATGCTCTTCAGATTCAATATGAGGTGCCCCAAACAAGACAGCATGTGTCATGACCTAGTATGGCTGCAAGGCACATGGCCGCCCACAGCCCCTACCACTGTGTGAATCCTACAAGCATTGGCGTGGGTGTGTCAGCCAATGAGAACTGACACTGTCTCAGGGCTTGCCTCAAACCCTGAAGCTTGGGTTCCTAAAATCACTACCTCCAGGAAGCTTAGCGCCTTAGCACAGATACTCTGAGAACAGTTGCTGAGCTGTGGAGTGACTGAACTGATGTAATTCTCTCTGGCTGGATAATAAAAGGAGCCCTGGTGACATCGTGTTAGGAGTTGGGCTTTGACCGTCAAGGTAAGCAATTCGAAACTACCAGCTACCCCAAGGGAGAAAGGCAAGGTTTCTATTCCTGTGAAGAGTTGCCATCTTGGAAATCCACAGGACAGTTCTACTCCGTCCTCTGGGGTGGCTCTCAGCCAGCCTAGATTATGAGTAAGCAAGGGCACAAAGGCAGTGAGTGACTTGGTTTGGGTTTGGTTAGGTCAATCGCCAGTCCCACACTGCAGAAGGAAAGACGGAGGCCATTAGCCATTTAGCCGCTTTCCGGTAGGAGCTCCTCAAGAAAGTGCAAGCGTTGGTATTTTTGAACCTAAGAAATTTGATGGCAGAGCCTGTGTGCCACCCTACAGTCCCTCTGTTCACCTGGTGTTGTGTTTTATGTCTGCTCATTGTCTGTCTCCCTCGTCCAAATGTCTTCTCCATGCCAGAAAGGACTTTGACTCTGGCTATGTCCCCAGGGCCCAGACGTCTGCTGCACACCGTGAGCTCGCAAACAAGTGTGGGATTATTAACGAATTCAGGGTCTTTTGTGCAAGATGTCCCATTTGGAACAAACCTGTGCAGTCCACTACTAACCTAAAGGTTAGTGGGCCAAACTCACCTGCAGCACCATGGGGAAGTGGGCCTGGTGACCCATCTGCTCCATCGATGATGGCAACCAAGAAGACCCTTTGGAGCAGGGCTACTGTGTAACATATGGGGTCACCACCGTCAGAACTGATGGGAAGGCCACTGGTTGGGGGTTTTGTTCATTTCTTTGTGTTTTATATGAAATACCCTATCTTAGGGCACAGGCAAAGGAGTTTGAGCCGTGGCAATGCTCAGAGAGGACAGCAAAGCTTCTGAGCACTGAATCTAAATGAGATGGGCTGGCTAAAGCAGAGGAAGCTGAGGTGCAGAGAGGCTAAGGGATTGGTCCAAGGTCATGTGGCCAGCAAATGGTAAAGCCAAGACAGAGCCACACTGCCTTAAGCCCAGGCCCTCCCCACCTGTCCCCACCATGGCACCTCTGCCATGGCACTTCCCAGCAGGTGACTCTGCAGGATATTCCCCTGAGAGGGATGGGCTTGAAGACACTTGTATATTTGATTTTTTTTTAATAATGATAATAATATCCCTGGAGAAACCAGACAAGATCTGGACAGAAAAGTCCATGCCTGCTGAGCCCCCACCATCTGTAAAACACTGCCTGTCACCGGCCCTCTGACTCCTGCCCTGGGAGCAGGTTGGCTCCCACGGCCACTCCAGCTTTAATTAACAGAGACTGCCCCCTATTTGTAACAAGGGGAGTGGAAGGCTGTGCCGGGGAAAGCAGACCCAGTGAGCCACCCTTGGTGGGGGCTTCTTTGCAGATGATTCTGAACCTCTAGCCTTTGCATCTTTGTGTCTTTCCCAGACTGAATTCCCTTCCTGATGCCTTTGGAATACTGCCTGAGCCCATCTCTCAAATCTTGGCTTAAGCCATTTACAAGAAGGAAAACTCACTGTGATTCTTTTTGCTCTCCGAAAAGGAAGGCGGTAGTGGATTTTTTATGTCAAAGCAGTAAATATAGTCACTACCACGTTATAGGTGTGTGATTATTGTTGTTGGGAATGTGCCCCCACCTGGCACAGGTTCAGAAGGTATTCCTTTCAGGACTCCTGGGAGGTTTTATCAACTTCCTAATAGAAACACCTGGTAAACATTTGGAAGATGAAAAATCATCTGAAAATCACCCCCCACACACACTACTACCCAAATGAATCCATGCAAATGTGTTGAAATTAAAATACAGCTCTTAATGAAAGTGCTTTCTATGAAGAAGATGATGGCACTGTTATTTACAACACAGGCACTTTTAATATCTAAAGGAGAATCTCGTTTGCTACCACCTTAGTTATGTCAGACCGCGCTGCATGAGGCGGTGAGGACGCAATTGTGCCCAGTAATCAGACAAGCTGGTGATGTAACAAAGGGATGCTTGCTCAGCTGAAGACTGCCGCTGCCAGCGCCAATCAGCAAGTCAACAACTGAGTGTGTTTGTGCTGCGGCCCTCACCAGAACAAGCCACTCCCTCATCGGGCTCATCAGGTGGCTTTGGGGGTTTCAAAGAGGTTTCCAAGCAACTGTTAGCCTTGATGGGGAAAAATAAAAGATGAAACAGAAGCAAAATATAGCTAGCACCTTGCCACATCCAAGCAATTCAGAGCTGTGTGTGTGTTTTCCTCCCTCTTGTGAAGAGGCGCTGGTGCCCTTGAGTTGATTCTGACTCATGGGGACCCCATGGGACAGAGCAGAACTGCCTTGCAGAATTTTCTGGGTTGTGAATTTTTATGACAGCAGATCATCAGGTGTTTTCTCCCTTGAAACCTGAGTCGTGGGTCGTTTTGAACCAGTAACCTTTCAGTGTGCAGCCAAGAGCCTAGCCATTTACACCCCCAGGATTTCCTTCTAAAGAGGGAAGGGAAGTAGGTAAGAGTGTACCCCGAGACCGTTGTTTCCTTGGGAGGTATTTTGGTTTGTTCCCCACCCAAAAAGATATTTCCAGAGTTGTATGCCCATTCCTCACT